CCATTAAGCTACATCCCTAGCCTGAATACCCATGCTTAGTTTTTAAAAATATTGCCAACTATGAAAGCTTCGTAACAGCAATAGACAATATAACTTAAGGTACTATACCACAAGGCGCATCAAGCTTTAGCTTTAGGCCATGGTGGTTGTGGTGGCAGGGTCCTTCAGGCTACATTTCCAAGATTCCCTGGCTAGCTGGTGTTTGTCAGTGGGAGAATGAAACCAGAAGGAAGGGCAATTCTCTCTGTAACCAGGCTTCTTCTCCCGTTTCCAATTCCAATTCTTCCACTTTGTATTCATAAACTATTTGTATCCAATTCCCTACACCGAATCCCTTTCTGCTACAAATATCTTGAGCTGTTTCTGTTTCCAAGAGAGACAGGGAATGACGAGTCATATTTAAAATGGTATTGATAATTTCCATTTTAGAACAGCCAATCTCGTTCTAAAGAGGATCTGATTCCTCTAAGGATCTGATTCCTTTACCCTTCTTGCTACTTTATAGAGTGACTGACAGAGATCATTCTGAAGCAAGAGAAGTATCAGTTTTTCCACTTTTTTATTCACATGTATTTGCTTTATTGGCATTATCTACAGTTTCTTTGTGGAAATTTTTTAAAGACATCTGCTCATTTTTGAGACTGAGTTTAATTAATAAAAGGTATTATAACCTATATATCTCAGAATTTAGTACCATATACAAAAAGCTGAAAACAAATAAAAATGTGTGGGCACCACAGTTAATTCCTCTGTGCTGTACTATCTCTACTCTTTTGCTAAAAACAACTGATTTTAGGAAGTACATAAGGGTTTGTATAAAGCCAATTCCTGTGGTAAGTATTTTTAAAACTTTTCCCTTTATAAGATGAAAAACAAGATAAATGTAAGTTCTAATGTTTTCCCCTTACCCATTGGGTTCTCTTGTAAACCCTGCTTTGAAGATCCCATTTTTTTCTAAAGTCTGTTTTCACTACTTCAGAGGATTAGGAAAGGGGAATTGGTGTTTAAATGCTTGCAAAATGCAGGATTAAATAAATTCCTGAAGGTTTCTTTTATTCCCCCACCCCCACCCCGTTTTGTAGTGTTGAGGATCAAACCTAGGGTCTTCTACAGGCTAGGCATATTCTCTGCCACTGAGCTATATCCCAACCCTAAGAGTTCCCAATTTTTAAATATTAAAATATAGGTGTCAATTTTGCAGGGGGAAATATTCAGAATCTATAAGTTCTTTTAACATGAAATCCCTCTATTCAACCCCTGTCGTCCCCGTCCCACCCACCCCCCCCACACACACACCTTAAGGAGACTCTAACAAATCAGTGTTTCAAAATACTTTGGAAAATGCTGACTTACATGAACTGGTTTCAGTTTCTGAAACTTAATGAAAGAGGAGGCAAGGCCACAGAAACATAAGGGTCATCTTCTCATAAAAGGAGGGTTTGCAGGATAATGCTTTCAAGGAAGGGGTGTTCTAAAAGATAATGCTGATTATATAATTCTTTTGGCCTAATGTATGCTTTCTGAATGGCAAGTATGGTGGGTATTATGATACAGACAGTATGTGAACTAAAGAAAAAATTTTAACTCAGTGCTTAGAATAATTCCAAGTACAAAGTAGGAGTTCATATATCTGTATAGTCTCTATGTATATGCAAATTTCTCCATATGCCATAGGTGGGTGAAAATTTTTCTAGGTGTAAATGCAAGGAAGTTTCTTTCTAATCAATGTAAAGATAGGGTTAGGGTTATACCTTGGTGGTCAAGAGCTTGCCTAGCATGCACAAGGTCCTAGGTTTGGTCCCCAACACTTTTTTAAAAAAATATTTTTTTTCTTAGTCATAGATGGACAAATATCTTTATTTATTTATTTTTATGTGGTGCTGAGATTCGAACCCAGTGCCTCACACATGCAAGGCAAGTGCTCTACCACCGAGCTACAACCCCAACACTTTAAAGAAAAAAGATATACTTTTGCAAGTACATATACAATTTTCACCCTCTAAGTTTTGAAGAAATCTCTACTCATTTTTATTCTGAAAATTGCATCCAAAGAACCATAAACATTAAAATGAAAGAATAGGCTTCATGTTTTTACACTTTGCAAAACTTTGTAAATATAATATTGGGCTTAAAATTTTTCATTAAAAATCTTGATTATGCAATGTCTAAAACATTCCTGATTAACTATGTTATTACTCAATCTTTTAAAATATCAGTGTTTCCTTCTGATATATAAGAAAAGTTTCATATGCTGTGTACAGTAGGCATTATACTATAATACTGAATGTTTTTAAAGCTGTGCAGGTGCTTCTACCCGTTCAGATACACTCCCATAGAAAACAATTACTAAACATTTATTCAAATGCAATGTAATAGATTATAGTCAACTTTTGATTTTATGTAAATGAAATCTTAATCAAAGATTATTATGTGACTCTTTACTATAACGACTCTTGTACTATGACAACCTTCACAAAGGTTCGTGCCTTGAAATGAAACATCAATATTAAAGGCTGACAAGGAGTTCAGAATACAAAGCATTTGGACTTATTTACATTTGTTTTTGAGAGAAGACAAACCTTAGACAGCTGAGGTAGGGTGCCATCCTCGCCATAACACTTAGCTTTCCCCCTTTGCATCCTAATAGAATTTTACTGCTTATGATAACAAGTCAGACAATCCACATGCACTGTGACAATTCTAATAACTCAAAAAAGACTTTAAAAAGAGGAAAATTAGAATAAAATCACTCTAGTTCCTACCATCCCAAACCAATGACGTCAGATATTTCACCAATCTCCAATTCTGGATATTTGTTTCCAGTGTTTTTCTATCTTAAACAACATAGAGAAACATTACTGTACACACATTTTTTTGACATTTGTTTTACTATTATAAATTCCTATATTCAAGATTGCCAGTCAAAGGACAAATCCTTTTAAATAGTACTTTTGATACAAATTACTAAAATTCCCTCCAGAAAGGTTACATCTCTTCACAGCCTATGGAAAGTGCTATTTATCTTATCCTCCCTGTGACAAAGAGTGGAAACTGTATATAGAAGACTGGCCCATAAGAGAAGAAGAGTGGAGTCAAAGGTTATAGGAGAAGCACACCATGAAGAAGAAAGGCAAAGACAAATAAGACCTACATTATTTTAGTTTTCTATTTCCATTAACTCCAGGAAGTTATGTGTACAATTATGTACAGCATAGCAACATTTCAGTCAAGAAAATACCACGTATATGACAGTATTATACAGCCAAGGGATGCAAGCTATACCACTGAGGTCTGTGTAGTACCCTTTATATGTCTGCACAATGATCAAACTGCCTACCAACACATTTCTCAAAACATCCCAATCAGACATTGCATAACTGTGCACCCAACTAGGAGTAGAAAAGGCAGAAGAGGACGAGAAGCAGATTCTTATCTACACCCAACAGAAAAATACCTCTCTTGTATTATCTGACACTATTGTCTCCCTTTACCTTCCTGGTCTTCTTTAGTTTTTTTTTCCCCCATAAAGCATAACAAAAAGCTGTGCAGCTGAACTGTGGACTGCCTTGTCTAATCTAATCAGTGCAGCAATTTTTTTTTTTTTTTAAAACATCTGAATGTCTCCAGAAGGAATAGGTGTACACAGTTCTTACACTCCCCAGCATTTGCCTTCGTAAGCCTCAGTCTTCTGCTCAGTTACATGCCTGTTTAGCCCTGGAAGCTTTTGCTATGTCTCATGCAAATTAACCACTAGAAACTTAAATACCATAAAGTAGTATTTTGGCAGACACTGTTCTGTGGTACTTAATAAGTCTGGACACCTAAGGTCAGTTTTAAAAGAGGTTTTCATTCTTTCTATGCTCAGTATCAAAAGGGATCTTAAGCAACAAAGTAGGATACAAGAGTTCAACTGTTAACTGCTACTTGACTTGACCTTCATCGAATCATTACATTTCTTGGGCTGGGGTTGTGGCTCAGAGGTAGAGCACTTGTCTAGCACATGTGAGGCACTGGGTTGGATCCCTAGCACCACACAAAAAATAAATAAATAAAGTAAAGGCATTGCGTTCATCTACAACTAAAAATATATATATTTTTAAAAAACATTACATTTCTTCTTGCATTACAGGTACTTCAAACCTCCAAACCTTAGCCGTTTTAGCATTGTTAATCCTGTGGCAATAATCATGGTGGTTAAGAGCTTGATTCTTAAGCCACACTATCTAGGTTTTACATCTGGAATGATAAACGACTGTGTGACCTTAAATAAGCTAACCTCCTTGAGTCTCAGGACCTCAACTATAAACTAATAATAATAGTGGTAGTTACTTCATGGGGTAGGTATGAAGATTATGTGTCACTAGTTATAAAGCACTCAGAAGTGTAAACACCAAATAATATGCCAGTATACATAATATATAAGTATTATTATATTATACATTATATATTATATAAGTATGTATAAAATATACTTTAATAAAAAAGGTTGAAAACATATAAGCAGACCCCCCTTTGCACAGCAGTAAGAGATAGTAAAAATACCTGTGAGCAAAGTGATCTTAATTATCATTGAGAAAAATTACTGTTGTTCCAGGACATTTTAAAATTTCTGAATGATATTTAATTTTTTAAAAAACATTGATAGACAATAAGTGTACACATCTATGTATGACCTTTAATTTTTTTTGTCAATACATTAAGATCTCATATGAACAAATATAAAGGTATAGAAAAATGGGGGGGGGGCGCAAAAAAAAAAAAAAAGAATATCAAGAATACTTCGAACAATGGTTGTCTTCTTAAGGTGTGGCTTATGATATAGGGCAAGCTGTTTTCTATGCTTAGCAAATTGTCATATTCCTTACTATGTCTGGATTAGGTATTCAAGCACCTGAGGGTAAGGCTTATGACTGATGAGTACTTTCAAAACCTAAGAATCTATAATACAGAAAAGAATAAAGATATAACACTGAATAAAGAGAAACATGCAGAAAACTTACATTATATTGATGATTAGCAACAGGCTTGTAATTTGTTGTTACAACTTTCTCCAGTTGTTGCGATAGCCTTACAGGTTTGGAAGATTCTTCTATTTGCAATCTGAAAAAAAGAAGGCATTATATACACTTATTTGTTTAGCAGAATGAAACCTGAAGACTTATTTCTGTAATTCTTATTCAATAAATACCAATTAATGTATAAACCTCAGATTATTATACTACCCTTACTAGAACATTCAAAAACCACAGTGAAAATATATGACTATTGTGTTACTTCATTAGTCTATAACTTACTTTTAATCCTATATTGTACAGGCAAATCTTAACTACTAAAAACCAGAAACCAATCACCTGAAAATTTCTGAAAACCAACCAATTAACCAACCAACCCTACAAGTAAAAATAAACTATATAAACTAAAATTAATCAAGTTGCTAATTCAAAATTTCCATTTATCTAATTAGAAATGAAGGCTAACAAAATGGAATAAATCAGCACCTAAGGTCTAGTATCTAGTAATCAGCACCAAAGGTCTCATTGGCTAGTACAGATACAGAACATTTCGGTGATTACAGACTTCTAAAAGATACGAATGGTCTAAAACTACTACAGGACTACATCCAAATTAAAATATAATTTGAAATATTGCCTTTGAGAAAACAGCCATAAAATGCATGACACCATGTATAGCATATTATAAAACATAATACCTGAACATACATCTTCAAGTAACAGACTTAGGATATTTTGTTTGTATTAAATGTGGAAAGACACATTCAAACATTGATTTCTTACTTTAAGAGTTAAGAGAAATTCATTTGCTAATCAAAAAAACTGTTTTAAGAGGAGAAAAGTGCAGCTTAAAAAAAAAAAGGTGGGGCCAGGGTTGTGGCTCAGTGGTAGAACACTTGCCTAGCATGCATGAGGCACTGGGTTGCCAAGCACCACATAAAAATAAACAAATAAAATAAAGGTATTGTGTCCATCTGCAACTAAAAAATTTTTTAAAAAAAGGTTTCACTGTATCTTTGGATTTCTCATCAGTAGGGTATCAGAATATAAATATGTAGTATATTTAAGAAAATGCTCATAGGTAGCTAATTTGTAAGTAAAGTGCAAGAATGAAATAAAAGTATTTTTGGACAAAACCCTTAAGACATTTACAGATCATCCTTAAAAGAATTATTGAAAGGTTTACTTTCGGGTGAAGGAAAATAAATCCAAAAGGAAGGAGTGGGATGCAATGGTCACAGCAAAGAAATTAAAAAACATGTTAGAAAATTGCCTACTTAATAAAAACAAAAAGAAAGCATCTTTTTTTTAAAAAAAGGTGAAATTAACATGAAAGATGAAAAGGAAGAGATCAGTATTAGTGCATTTTAAGATTTCTGTATGTTTTCTAAACTTTCTGCAATAAGCATCTATTACTTTTATAATAAAAAAGGAAGTATACCTAATAAATACAAAATATCATTATTTTTTGGATGGTTAATTTGAAAGCCATAAAATGTTGGTCATTCAAAAATAATACATGCTCAAAATTGTATATTATATAAAATTTGACTCAGACTTTAAATTCATGGTTCAACAGAACAAGTACTAAAGCTAATTTTCATTTAAAATTCAAAAAGAACCCACTTGAATCAAAGTGTGAAATATGATATATCAAGAACTATGTAATGTTTTGAACAGCCAACAATAAAAAATTAAAAAAAAATAAAATAAAATTCAAAAAGACACCTCGAAGTACAAAAAGTACCTATTTTAAAATGTTCTTACTAAATACGGATAAAGATAAATCATCTTGGATGAAGATAATTCTCTATTCTGTTTATTTTTAGGTATATAACAGCAAAATACTGAGATACTCAATGTCTACCAACTATTTTTTATATATGAAATTTACATTATTAGGTATTAGGTATACTTTACCATGAAACCCAAATTCAGTATACTTATTTCTATATGGAAATGTAAATATTTAAATTCATTCATTTATTAATCCATACTTAAGCTTTAAATGATTATTTTATAAAATGTTAAAAAAATACTCTGGAAATATCTTCAGAAATTTACCGGATATGCAATCATAAATAGTAAGTACTATATTACTTTTGCCTTTCGTATGTCACACATATTTTCTAAAGAATTTTTTTGTAGCCACTGCTTCCTGACTCAGGTCCATGTGGCATACTTTCCTTTACAGAAAAATTCTTCAGCAATTCTAAAAGTCAGTTTCACCATCCAGACTGGCATGATATATGTAACCTCAAAATATTTAATCTTTTAAATAAAGAAAAACAATGATCATTGCTTTAAAATAAATAGCTAATATAAAAATTCAACCTTTGCATTGTACTTCAAAAAAGTCAACTTCAAGGGTTTTGTTTTAATAAAAAGAGGGCATCTTATGATTACAAGCTCAAAAGGTTAGGAAATGAAAATACAGCCTATTTTTCAAGAACCAAATCTTAAAATACCTTAATTAACCTTGACTGGTTTAAAATAATTTAGCAGGTTCTTTAATTAACACTAAATAATTCATTTAACATTATCTCATGAAGTGTCAGAACAATTTGCAACTCCATTTCATCACTGAACAATGTACTAAATTAAACATTACTGACCTCAACAGGCTTTCAAAGTCAAAAGAAGGTTTACCTGGGTTTATCAGAATAATATGATTTGGAACTATTTGGTTTGCAAATCAGAATAGCCAAACCACATACAGAGGTGCTGGGCTGAACTGCAAGCAAGCTAAGAGTCCTGACTATTTTTTAAAATGGGCTTTGACTTTTGCAGAAAATTTTAAAATATGATGTCATTTTCAAGAAACAGTAATAGAAAAGCAATATTCTGTGGTCACTTTGTTTTACAAATCTTCTAAAAAGTTTTTGGTGCTGATTCTTAGCATCACTATGAATATGAATATACATATTCATAGAAGGTTAGGATTTAACTGTATCTTTTTACATTTTCCATAGTTGGAGACAAAGTGCTTGGAAATATACATTTATGAGATAAATGCTGTGGCATCATAAATCATACTTATTTTGTCAAAGCATAATATTTTTAAGTATTAAAAATTAAATAGGTTTGAATATGGATGCATTCTAAACACAACTTTATTTCTTTAAAAAAAACTTAATTTAAATTTTAGGTAACTGAGAATTATATTCTTGGAAGCTCAAGTTGGTGAAGTTTGCAAATAGTCTCTAAATTATTTGCCTGAGTTGTAACAGCAAACACACTAAACACTTGAGAGAAAATTACAGGTATCTATCTTATACCATAGATTATATTCAGGAAGCTTAACTTTATTTATTTTAGGAAGCTTAAATTTAATCAGAGAATTTTAAAGTAAAAAAGTGACCAGACCTGTGTTTTTAAAATACTCCTCTGACTACTGTTTGCAGGATGGTGTGGAGTAAACATGGAGCCGAGAAACTAGAAAAGCTACTGTCCTAATACAGAGGAAAAATAATACTCATTTGGATGAGGGTGATGCTAAAGAGGTAAAAGTCAAGTTTAGCAAATTAAGAAAATATTTTGAAGAGAGATTCAATAGAAATTGTTCAACTGAACTTGGGTACAAAAGAGGAAGAAAGGCAGTAAGAATAATTGGGCTTAGATTTCTGGCTTGAGCAACTATAACCCAAGAAGAGGGGTCAGACTGTGTTACTATAAAACTGATAGAATTCACTTTACTAGAAAATCTGTATATGAGATGCTCCTTTTACTCTGCTACTACAATTGAAAAAAGATAACTGAAAAACTAACACCTTCTATCTTAAATTCTTTTTTTAAATATTTTTTATTTGTTTTAATTAGTGACAGTAGAATGCACTTTGATACATTATATATAATGGAGTATAATTTCTCATTCTTCTGGTTGTACATGATGTAGAATCACACAGGTTGTATAATTATATATGTACATAGGGTAATAATGTCTGATTCATTCTACTATCTTTCTTACCCCCATATCCCCCTCCCCTCCCTTCACTCCTCTCTACCTAATCTAAGGTAACTCTTTTCTTCCCTAGTCACCCCCCAACCTTGACCCCACCACATTGCGAATTAGCATCCACATATCAGAGAAAACATTCGGCTTTTGCTTTATGGGGGATTGGCTTATTTCACTTAGCATGATATTCTCCATCTCCATACACTTACTGGCAAATGCCATAATTTCATTCTTCTTTAAGGTTGAGTAATATTCCATTGTGTGAATGTGTGTTTGTGCGTGCCACATTTTTTAATCCATTCATCTGTTAAGGGACACCTAGGTTGATTCCACAGTTTAGCTATTGTGAATTGAGCTGCTATAAACACTGATGTGGCTGAGTCATTGTAATATGCTGATTTTAATATTTCTTAATCAGCAAGTTTTATATAAAGATATGAGTTACTCTCTATGCCTCACACTTAAGATTAACATAGATTCAAACACCTAATGTTGAATGGCACCAAGAGCAACTCATTTCTCTGGACAAGAAATAATGACAAGAGAAGTTGTGCTCTACTTGTGTACAGTTTTATGTCAAAATGCAGTCTACTGTAAGATATACTGATTAATTAATTTTAAAAAAGAAAAGAAATAATGACTAACAATTACTATCACTGTGTAACTTGGGCCACACAAAATTATTTAGCTTTTTTACTATTTAAGGGAATAGTCAAAATCAACTTCACTGAATTCTGAGTTTAATATTATTATTTAAAGAGTCATTGAAGTTGGATACAGTGGCACATGTCTGTTATCTAAGAAACTCGGGAGGCTGAGGCAGGAGGACGACAAATTCAAGGACAGTCTTAAAAAGATCTTGTCTCAATTTTTTTTTTTTTTTAATTTTAAAGGACTGAGATGTAGCTCAGTGGTAAAGTGACTCTGAGTTCAATCCCCAGTATCAAGTGGGTGGGGAGCTAAATAAAAATAGAGAACATTATCTCCTATTTCTTCCCATCAAAGAGAAAGTTCACAAGGCCATGTAACCAAAGAGCTAAAACACCAACAAACTGATAGCACATGAAAACAGACATTTAAAAAGCACTATATTGAGGCTGAGGTTGTGGCTCAGAGGTAGAGCACTCACCTAG